TTCTTGTTCCAGACAAGAATTTAAGGCAGCTAGAAAAATAGGAAAGAAAAGGTGCATACAAGGTAAAATAAAATTCCAAATGAGTGAGTAAGGAAATCATCCCTGTGAGAACTGCTATGACTTTCTATCAACAGGAATTCAGTTTCTTTGTCCATGTCTCTGGAACACTTAGTATCTTCTTTCTAAGAATAAAATACTGAAAATGAAAATACCTCTTTGAAATATTTTCTCAAGCTCATCAGTTCTAGCCCTTATTTAGATTCATTCAATCTACCATTTTAGTTTAGTGATTCTGGCATGAACAATTTGCTACACCCTTTTTTTTTTTTTTTTTTTTGGAGAGATGGAATCTCACTTTATCGCCCTTGGTAGAGTGCCATGGCGTCACAGCTCACAGCAACCTCCAAGTCCTGAGCTTAGGCGATTCTCTTGCCTCAGCCTCCTGAGTAGCTGTAACTATAGGTACCTGCCACAGCACCTGGCTATTTTTTTTGTTGCAATTTGGCCTGGGCTGGGTTTGAACCTGCCACCCTCAGTATATGGGACCAGTGCCCTACCCACTGAGCCACAGGTGCACTACACACTTTCTTGTCTAGACTCACAGTCTCATCTTTTTGGCTCTGTTGGGGATGAAAGTCCTTGAAATATGTCTTTCTTTGCTTCGGCAATATCATAAATTTAGCATGTTTTTTATTTCTTAAATGGCATTTTTCATTAAACCCTTTGACTTTGCTAAGATCCAGGACATAGATATTTTTTTTAAGTATAAGAAACAATTAAAATAAAAGAATAGGATGGTAAAAGTTGCAATTAATATACCTGAAAGAGAAGCTTTGATAACTTTCCCATTTAAAAAATAAAAGCCACTTTAAAAGAGAGTAGATACTAAATTAAGAGAACAAGTCTCACATTGAAAACTGAATATTTTTCCAGGAGGCAGATTGTACCCAGCCCAGCCTGTGGTGGAGCCACATCCTCTGCCTGGTCCTCAGTTTCCCTGAGGTCATAAATCAGAGATGTTCTATGTTTTCATGTTGGAGGCTGCATTAATTTAGTAACCAATAAGGCTGCATTTAAGAAACTTCAATTAGATATGCTAAAAAAAGTACATTATTCTGTAAAAATCTAATTACTATACTTAATAGTGTCAAAAAATGAAAACTACTTGTTAAATTTAAAGTTAACTAGCCTTGTAATGACTTTGTAGTGTCTGCTTTTTGTTGGAAGCATCTGGATATCTGGTTGCACAAGGTCAGCTGACTGGTCCTGTGGTTGAGTGGTCCTCAACCTTTTTGGCACCAGGGACTGGTTTCATGGAAGACAGTTTTTCCAAGCATCAGGGAAATTGATTTATTACAGTCTCTGTGCAGACCTTTCTGCTAATGTCTGTACCTGCAGCTTCCCAGTGCCAGGGTCAGTGCCTAAGCCCCACCTCAGCACATCAGGTATTAGATTCTCATAAGGAGCCACAGCTTGGACCCCTCCTATATATAGTTTACAGCAGGGTCCACCTATGGGATTCTAATGGCATGGCAGAGCTCAGGGGTGAGGTGAAGGGTGGTGAGGAACTGTGAAGAGAGAGGACTTCACTGCACACCAGCTGTCACCTCCTGCTGTGCAGCCAATTTCTAACAGCCTGGCACCAGTTGGGGGTGAAGTTCTAGGTGGGCATCAGTCATTTGTGGCTTTCCGGGCATCTTGATTTGGGCTCCATAAGAGAATGTAGATCAGAAGCACTGAGTGGTTGAAAAGCAAGAAAGCATGTGGGGCGTGTCAGCAAGGCACAGGCCTTCTGCTGCATTTTACCATGTTTCAGCTGGATTTTGCATGTGGGGCATGTTGGCATGGCACGAGCATCCTGCCACGTTTCAACTGGATTTTTCTTAACACCTAACAATGCCTTTAAATGTCATCTACTGCGAGCTCATTTCCAGTGTCTTGGTGATATTAAGTAGGTGGAGCTGAAATGCTAATTTGAATCAGTGAAACTTTCATTGTGTTCTCCAAGTAATAGGTCCATAACAGCTTGCATATTCTCAAATGATTTGCATGTGTCGTCCTGATCATCAATGGCCTTTGCTAACTAGGGGAAATATTCATCTGAAGTATCCTTTTGAAGAGGTATTTTGAAAAAAGACTTAATTTTACATTGCCAAGAAATATTCAAGTCGTTTTTATTTGATATCAAACAGAAATGCTGCATTCCTATAGAAATCTTCTTCCAATAATTCATGTTGTTGATTCTGTTCTTCATAAAATGTAACTATCTATTTTGCAAAGGTAAAATTTTGTCTAACACCTGTGCCTGCTGTAGCCAACACACTTCAGAATGATAAGACAAATCCACACTGAATACCTACCTCATCCTGGGACTTTGGCATGTTACAAAATTAAGGATGCTGTGTTGCAATTGCATGAATACAGTTAACGATACTTACAACTTGTCACAAAGTGTCACTTAAAATAGTAGCTTTAGCACAGATGTGAGATACAATGAAAAGAAATGGGAACATATGACTCTGGTAGTACTTTTTTAATCTGTGCAATAAACCCTCCTATTCTCCTGTCACGGAAGGTGTACCATCTGTACAGACACTCCCTAAATTACCAAATTCAGTCCAACTTCATGAGGTTTACCTTGAAAGTTGTTGAGGATATCTGTTCCTGTGCTTTTCCCAAGAGTGCCCAAAGTGAGTAACTCTTCATAGCTAGGAAAATCTGCTGTTATGATCCAAATGAAACATAAAACCTGCAAGCAGTATCAGCTGATTCATCCAAAGTGATTGAGTAATACATACATGTTTTCCTTTTGAAGTATTGCAAGAAATTGTTCTGTTAAGCTGAAGCCTAATTCATGCTGCTGATCAGTTATGGTTCTCCTTGAAAGAGGCAGTTGTTTGTACATTGAAACATTATTGGGGGCTAAGCATCCTAGAACTTCAACGATGCATCTTTTCTCAATTTCTGCATCATTGAGTGGCTTCCCTTTTCCCTGAGTATCTGGCCTACATTATAAGTTGCTTCAGTGGCATTATTTTTAGGTCTTATTGCTGCTTAAAAGAACTGTCTTTGCTTTTGCTTCTTATCTTTTAATTTCTGCAACAACCTTTCATGCCTCTCCTTCTAATTTAAAATATTTGTGATCTGTATGAATGTTGTAAAATTGAGGAGCATTGAATTTCTTCAGTGTTGATATTGCAAAATCACCAAGCAAGATAATCATCTTAAGCAGAAACAGAATAATATTGCAATTTCTAGTCTTTATTACAAAAAATCTCTTTTCTTCAGCATTCTCTTGTCTTCTTAGACATGATGGGCTGATGAGCAGACAGAAGTAAAAGACACTGTCAAGCTATGCAGCTACTTACAAATTCCACTTCAAACAGAAGCACAGTGCACTGTTGTCAGAGCTGATAAAAGGCTGGTGTACTTGACCCCTGTGCACTCTTGCCAGCCAGGCATGTGTGGTGATGACACCAGTCAGGTGGGGGAAGTCAGAACTGAGTTGTGAGTGCAGCAGCCCCATTTAGTCCATAGGACTCACTATGCTAATAGTGAGACCAGAACTATGCTGGTCAGTCTGGGAGAATTATTTCTTTGAAACTAATTTTAGTCCTTGATATTTTAAATACACTCATTTTAAAAATAAAATGAAAATATAAAAGATGAACAAAAATATATTAGTAAAAATTAAAGATTTGGATTCATTCAACAGCCACAGCTCAGGACCTAGAAAGCCACATGTGGCCTGAGGGCAGCAGGTTCCTGTCCCTGTTCTGTGTCCTACAAATGAGGCCCTGCTGGTCCAGGTGAAGCTCAGAGGGCAGGGAGTCCTCACGTGATCCCTGGCACTGGGCCACAGCACACAGACACATCCACCTGTGCTCTCAGGGAGGGTGGGGATCTCTTACCTTCGCCCATTACATCTGAAAAACCGGAGCAAGAAGAAAACTGGAAATAAATTCACCACCCTGCAGGGTGACCGGAGAGATTTGGAAAAGTGCTGAGGATTAAATTGAACAGCCTGTTTCAGGGGTGCCCCCAATAAGTCAAAAAGTTCTCAGTTGATATTTCTTCTTCATAAATAATACAAAGCCCACTTATTGTGCCAAGTTCTGTGCTGGGTATTGGGTGTGTACAAGTGACCATAGAGACAAGGACTCTGCCCTCACAAGCTTATGTTCTGATGAGACAAAAAGGGAAAGTTAAGTGAGAATTAAGATGATAAAGAACTCCAGATTGTGGGCGGCGCCTCTGGCTCAGGGAGTAAGGCGCTGACCCCATATACCGAGGGTGGCAGGGCAGGTTTGAACCCAGCCCCAGCCAAATTGCAACAAAAAAATAGCTGGGTGTTGTGGCGGGTGCCTATAGTCACAGCTACTCGGGAGGCTGAGGCAAAAGAATCACCTAAGTCCAAGAGCTGGAGGTTGCCGTGAGCTATGATGCCACAGCTCTCTACTGAGAGCAACAAAGTGAGACTCTGTCTCTTAAAAACAAAAAAAAAAGAATTGCAAATTGTGATGAGAACCACCAAGGAAAAGGAGAAGAAAAGTAGGGCTGGGGACAACCTACAGGTAGGCAGTGGGGGCAGGCTCTTCAGGGAAAGTGGTGTGTAAGAGGGTGGGAACTAGCCAAGTGCCGGGCGGGGGCCTCCGGGCAGCAGGCGTGGTCTGCAGAGGCAGGTCCCAGGCATGCTGGGGGGAGGGGGGGTGCCGCACCTGGTGCACCCTGGTGCCACATCCAGTGTCTTTTCTGTGGAGCGCCTGCAACTTGCTCACTCTGGCTGCTGGCGGAGAACTGGTCAAGAGAGGTGTGGGAGAAGCAGGGAAGAAAACGTTGAAATTAATGTGAAATGTACTTAAGGCCACTGAAAGAGGCACATGGAAACGGGCATGATGATCTATTTTACATTATGTCTGTTTTCTACCATGGAAATAATCTGGACAGGACATGGGGGCTCCCTGAGTGCACTCCGTGACCACCCCTCCTCCCCTTCCCAGACCAACAGGAGCTCCGGGCAGCGGCGAGCAGTACAGTGTGGGCATGGTCGGCACGCATGGGCTGGAGACCTCACACGTGGACGCCTTCAGCAGCAGCATTTCAAGAGAAGGGACCTTGATGATTAGGGAGGTAAGTCGGTATACAGACTGTCTAGGGGAAGCACATTTCTTAAGTGGCTTTTATATTAGCACTTTCACAGAGAATGCTCACAGCACGGGGAGTGCTCCGAGTGGTCGTGTGGTTCTAACTGTCTGCAGCCTTCCTCCCTGGAGCCTTCTCAATCCTGTGTCCAGTGTGACTGAGTTACATTGGTCCAGAATCTTCAGCAGGAGCTATACTAATCAGACTACAGAGTATGAGCCTGAGGACTTAAAACCCAGCAAACCCAGATGTTTCCTACAACAGGAAAACAGAGACGAATAGTCTCTCCGAATAGCGTCACCAGCCTTGTCACGCCTCCTCTCCATTTCATGTAGAGAAGTCTCGTAAGTTCCAAGAAATGATGATACCATCTTACCAGGTTGAACCAACTTTAAAAAGGCCATTAAGTTATCACATTAAAAGAACAAAGAAGTATGAGATCTACTTAAAAATGCACCTTAGCACTTCGAGTTCTTTTAAACTCGAGGGATGTCTTTTTTTTTTTTTTTTTTTTTTGGTGAAAGGCACATATCTCTTACTCCTGTCCTGACATGCAGGATCTTACGTCTGTATCTGTCCTAAACAGAAGGACCGGCCAGAATAAATGAGACCTGCTTTTGTTTCCACTTCATCGTCACCGTGCAGGTTGGAGTACAGATCTTTCCGCAGGAGGGAAGTAATGGGCAGACATCACTGGACCTCTCCCTGTGTCTGTTTTAGCATCAGTACAGAATTTCATAAATAATAGAAAATGACTTATAGTTGAGAGTATTAAAGGAATTACATAGTAATGAAGGTCAGTAAATGTCACTACTTTTCCCCTCTTTGTGGAGTGGAGAGGGGAGCCCTGCTTTTACTTGCCAGTGCCCGTGGCCCCTCTGAAACACAGCACACGCTGCCTGTCCTTCTCCTTCTCAGCCAGGACAGAGTTGGGAACCCAGTAGCAGGTTTCACTCTCCAAAAGGGCAAAGGGCATCTGTCCGCTGTGAGAAAGAGGGGGACTGCAGTGTGAGGTAAAGAAGGCCTCTGGAGTGACCCTCGGCAATGGGGCTGTCACTGAGGACGAGTTTGCAGAGCAGCCTGCTAGAATTGAGGCCTTGTTGAATCCTTAAGCAGCTTTACAGAGTCTGTTCACGCTGTCTGGAATGAGGAATGGACCTGGCTGCTGGTGCTGATGCTGTGTTGTGCTGGCACATGGATTCCTCAGTGAGGCGACTGAATGATTTCAATGGAAACGGAGGGTGTTTCCACCACTGCAGCTTGTTGCTTAGGAAAACCTGAGGGAGAATGTTCTGGAATGAGTCACTCTGACTAAAAAGACTCCAGTTTCTAATGTGTAAAAATTGGGCTGAGTCTTTGTGACAGTCACCCACAACTGGACAGATGGAGCCACATTGCCAGTTCTGTAACCACATCCCTGTGGCTCCTTGGCATTTGTGGCTGCAGAGTTCCGTGACCGCAGCCAGTCACTCTGAAGTGGCACTTCCAGTGTCCTATAGGATTTTCATCCAGTGAGGACCCAGATGGTCCTGTGCTCTCAGCCTTCCAGTGCCGCCTGCCCAAATGTGAGTTTTTAAAATAATATACTTATTAGTGAGTTCTCCAGAGAAGAATATACACTGTGTATACAGCAGAGCCTCCAGAACTGAGCCCTCCCTACGCTGACCTCCTCCTCAAACTGATGGGACATGCACCTCGTGTGTCAGTACCACAGCCTCATTCCTCATGGTGACCACCTCTGTGTGCTGACCAGTTTGTCACAGTCCCCTGGGCAGAGAACCCCCCTAGGCTTCTCCTATAAATGCAGAGAGAAAGGGGGAGAGGATTGACTGATTACGAGGAAGGGGCTCATGTGATCATGGAGGCGAAGGAGTCTCAAGAAGTGTTCTGCATCATGCTGGGCACATGGCACACACAGCAGCTCGGTGCCAACCCCTAGTGTCCTGCACCGTGCTGGGCGCGTGGTGCACACAGCAGCTCGGTGCCAACCCCTAGTGTCCTGCACCGTGCTGGGCGCGTGGTGCACACAGCAGCTCGGTGCCAACCCCTAGTGTCCTGCACTGTGCTGGGCGCGTGGTACACACAGCAGCTCGGTGCCAACCCCTAGTGTCCTGCACCGTGCTGGGCACGTGGTGATCACAGCAGCTTGGTGCCACCCCCTGGGAACAGTGGAGGCACAAAAGTCAGAGGCTTCATTAGTGCTGTTACTGTGGCCCCAGGTGCAGGCCCACTGTCCACTCCCCGTTGTGTCCCAGCAGAGTGTGCGGCACCCAGAGAGTATTTGGTAAGGAGGTACTGGCTGAGAGAACAAAGAGAGGCATGGAGGTGGCAGACCAGAGGTCAGGTTGCAGCTGGTCCCTCCTGGCTACTCACCGTCCAGGCTGCTTCCCCGGGGGGCTCCTTCTGGCCTCTCTCTAATTACTGGTGTGTCTGCACCGGGCTTTGTCTTGACAAGAGCACACTGCTGACTGGGACTAAGGCGCGGTGAAGAGATGGCATGCGATTTATGCCACTTGGAAGCTGGGGAGGCCACTGAACTGCTGCACAGTCTCTGAGCAGAAGTTGGTAAAATGGCCCAGTACAAAACAGGGCAGTGAGATAAATTAGAACAGGTTCCTAAATGTTATTCTGAAGAGGGACTGCTCAGCTCTGAGAACAGGCACAAGCCCAGGCTGTAGACAAGCACTAAGACAAAAGGAACCCAGAAAATCCCCAGAGCAGTCTGTAGTCCCAGAGCCTGTCATGGTGATTTCTCCAGCTTCCCATGAACACCAATTACATGTACCCTGAGGAGCAGGGAGCCTGTGTCAGCTCTCACACACACATGCACAACTCATACATACACACACTCATACCCACACACGTGCACACACCCACTTTCACACACAGACACGCTCACTTTCATACACTCATTCTGTGTGTGGTGTTCTTTCTGCACTGCGCTGGGCATGCATTCATACACACATGCTCATATACTCTACTCATACACAGACGCACTCATATGGACCAGCACTGTCATATGAAGTCACTCATACTCACAATCACACTCACACACAAAGTCCCTCTTCCACCTCCAGCCAGAAGCAGGTGCAGAGCTATAATTATCAGACCAGGGTGAGCTCTTGAAGGAAGAAGCCAGGCCAGTGTGATGGTCAAGGAAATAGCACAAGCCCTTGCAGCTGTCAGCCCCAGAGAGATGGGTGTGTGCCTGCCTCGCTCCCAGCTACTCCACATTCAGCAGGCTCTCAAAAACGTTGCTCAGTGAATGAAAGAAAGAAAAGGCAGAAGGCTGGGCACGGAGTCTCATACCTGCAACCCCAGGACTCGGGAGGCTGAGACTGATGGATCCCTTGAGCTCAAGAGTTCAAGACCAGCCTGAGCCAGAGCAACACCCCATCTCTAAAAATAGCTGGGCACTGAGGTGGGCACCTGTAGTCCCAGCTACTCAGGAGGCTGAGGCAAGAGAATCGTTTGAGCCTAAGAGTTTGAGGTTGCTGTGAGCTGTGATGCCACAGCATTCTACCCAGGTGACAAAGTGAGTATCTGTCTCAAAAATAAATTAATTAATTAAATAAATAAAAGACAAGGAAGAGAAAGCAGAAAGTAAAATCCTCATTTAATGAGATCTGCTCTAATAATCTTCAATGAGCCAATTGCATAAATGTGAAAAAAAATTATAAGACTAGTCGGACCTATAATGTGGGCACTGGTTTTGGGAGGCCAAAGTCATCTTTCAATCCTTTTTTCCCTGGGATTTTTAGGGGGAGGAGACTGCTCTCCAGAGCAGTGGTTTCCAAGCTGGTTAGTTCATGCAGCCCCATCAGTGCGAGGTGTGTTTATTCACAAACCACGTGTTTGTCCTGCTGCACCGAGGTAGATAGACATTGTGATGTATCTTTAGAAGCTGTTCTAAGAAGTGCTGTGAATGAAGCTTCCCTGGCTTTGCTGCTGCTGACTGAGAGATCCAGCATTAGTGACGGCCTCGTAAATCATATTTCCGATAGTCTTCTAGGTCTTGTTGGTATTTCTTTAAACTCCTGTCTCGTGTGATTAGTTAATCATAGTGAGGACCTCAGGAGTGACAAAGAGCCCGTGTGCCGGGTGAGTGCCGTCTGCACTTTCTAGAGTGCACCTGTGTGTGGGTCACCCCACAGCTTCCATCAGCAGCACTCAGATCACCATAACCTGCGGCAAGGCTACAAATGCAGTTGACAGGTGTGCACACACTGCTGGGGGGTCTGGCAGCGTGGGCCCCACTCAGTTCTTCCACTGGCAGCACCACTGCCCCCCCTCCCCGAGACTGTCACACCACCTATGACCCCTGACTGCCCCTCACACAGGACCATGAGGCTTCAGAATCAAGTCCTTGCTCTAAAAGTGTCAAAGCTTAAAATTTTTTGTATTTCCCAGGTCAAACAGGAATGAGAATGCTGCCTTCCCATAACCTTGGGGTCTGGCTGGGAGCCCCTCGCCTGTGCTGGTGAGGGTGACACTGCTCAGTGGCCTCTCCACTCTCTAACGTACCGTCTCTTGTGCCCCTCAGACATCTGGAGAGAAGAAGCGCTCAGGCCATGGTGACAGCAATGGCCATGTCAACCTCCCAGACCTGGTGCAGCAGAGCCACTCCCCAGCAGGGACCCCGACCGAGGGCCTGGGGCGCGTCTCTACCCACCCCCAGGAGATGGACACTGGGACAGAAGTAGGTGCCAGGCAGCAGACAGCACGGCTGCTCTCTTCTCGTGGGTTTGAAACCCTGCCCTCCCCAACAATGAAGCTTTGCCAATCTCCCAGAAATGTGTTTGGCTGGTTTCTACTACAGAGCTCCTTAGGCAGATACTCAAATACAGTACCTTAGGGACAGAGCAGTGACAAGTTCTCAGCTGTCATTGGGACTGACACTGTCTGTACATCAGGGTACCGAGGGTCAGAGAGGTTCAGTGACACCCCCCCCCCCGGGACATAGCTGGTTTGTAGCAGGTCTAGGACCAGAGCTGGGGGGCCTCCTCTCTCCCAGGCCCCAGATGGAAACATCAGGCTTGGAGATTTCAAAGCTAACAGTTACAATTAAATTACATTAATTTAGTCAGACTAGGTTTGACTTAAATAAAATAGGGTTGAAAGGCTTGTTGACAAAAAGTAAAAATTAATAAATAGGTTCTTAAAGTGTCAGCTTCCTAAACTCCAAATAGTGTCTGAAAGGAGAAATATTATTTCTGCTCTATAGATACAGTCCCAAGGACAAGCCTGAGTAACCACGTCCATTCGGCAGTGCTCATGAAGTCGCCAACAGAGGCTGGCTGGCAGGTTCAGTGCTTCATAAACAATCGTCTGAATCCCCTGAGGCCCCACGTGTGTTCACAAAACATAAACGCACAGATGCTGTTAACGTTGTCCATGCACTGAGTTTTCTTACCACTTTTTGGACTCTAAAGTTATAGACAGATGAGCTTTACACACCCAGGGAAGAGCACAGGGCACTTTAGAAAGTGCAGCACCTGTCGTGAGCTCCTGCAGTTGAGGCATTTTCTACCTGAGTGTCTCTGTTGGCTCCAAGGAGCGGCCCTCGTGATTGAACCTGGTTCAGACTCTGCTGTGGCTCCAGCTCCGAGTGATGCATGTAGGAGAAGGGATGGAGGGACAGGCCCGTGGGGGCGTGCAGCTCCTTCAGCAAAGCTCAGATGTGGGGTGTCGTGACAGGCCC